GACACACTAATGCTGCTGGTGACACACTAATGTTGCTGGTGACACACTAATGCTGCTGGTGACACACTAATGCTGCTGGTAACACACTAATGCTGCTGGTGACACACTAATGCTGCTGGTTACACACTAATGCTGCTGGTGACACACTAATGCTGCTGGTGACACACTAATGGTGCTGGTGACACACTAATGCTGCTGGTGACACGCTAATGCTGCTGGTGACACACTAATGCTGCTGGTGACACACTAATGCTGCTGGTGACACACTAATGCAGCTGGTGACACACTAATGCTGCTGGTGACACACTAATGCTGCTGGTGACACACTAATTTTTCCTTTTAAGGGGGAGATGAAGTATTATTTAGTTCACATTTAAAAAATTCTTGAATCTAACCAAGTTATATAAACTTAACATAACCAAGTTATATAAGCTTAACCAAGTTATATAAGCTTAACCAAGTTATATAAGCTTATATAACCAAGTTATATAAGCTTAATATAAAGTTTCTCTCAAATACTTCGTTGTATCTATTATAAAAAAGGCGGCTTGCATTAAAAAAAAAAAAAGATTGTAGAGTAACACTGGTCACTATATGATGAAAGTCACATTCTTTAAGCTAACACAAAGGGATCAAGTCATGTAACCATTTTTACCAGACTTTATATGTCTACTCACCGCATTATTTTCACTTATTTGTCCTTTTCCAGTTTCTCCAGATTTCATTCTTGCCATCCCACTTTTGTTCCAGCAAAAAAAAAAAATGTAATGTGAGGAATATATACCTCTCTTGTTGTGTGGATATTGAGACTGACGGTGTATATACATATAGAGAGTTTATATATAACTATGTATATACTTGGAATTTACTTTAATCCTTGTGTTTGGAATCAAAGTATCCTTGACTTGTGGGGTACAGGTGACATAACCTAACAAACCAACCATTAAAAAAAATGAAGTGCAGCTTATGTTGAGCCATAGAGCAGGTCATTGTGTGACAAAGATCCGTGTGAGGAGACACTTGCTCTGTTTCCTGACGAAGAAAACACAGAAACCACAAGCACGTAGTGTCAGGGTATATACAAAGAGACGTGTGCATCACTCTGTATATTTACACTGAGTTTACTTTTATCCCTGTGTAAAGGTTAAGAATATTCTTGAGAGGGAGTGTACAGCTTTAGTGGACCTCGTCTAACTCAAAGGTTTTAAACCTGTTAATAAACCTATTTCCTAGTGTAGATTCCGTCCTACAGGGAACCCCGTGGATTGCGTCCTACAAAGAGCCCCAGGGATTGCGTCCTACAGGGAGCCCCAGGAATTACGTCCTACAGGGAGCCCCAGGGATTGCGTCTTACAGGGAGCCCCAGGCATTGCGTCCTACAGGGAGCCCAAGGGATTGCGTCCTACAGGGAGCCCCAGGCATTGTGTCCTACAGGGAGCCCCAGGGATTGCGTCCTACAGGGAGCCCAAGGGATTGCGTCCTTCAGGGAGCCCCAGACATTGCGTCCTACAGGGAGCCCCAGGAATTGCGTCCTACAGGGAGCTCGAGGCATTGCGTCCTACAGGGAGCCACAGGCATTGCGTCCCACAGGCAGCCCCAGGCATTGCGTCCCACAGGTGTTGTTGTCTTGACACCAGTTGAACCCTCACTCTGGTACTGTTGTCTTGACACCAGTTGAACCCTCATTCTGGTATTGTTGTCTTGACACCAGTTGAGCCCTCACGCTGGTATTGTTGTCTTGGCACCAGTTGAACGCTTATTCTGGTATTGTTGTCTTGATACCAGTTGAACCCTCACTCTGGTATTGTTGTCTTGACACCAGTTGAGCCCTCATTCTGATATTGTTGTCTTGACACCATTCAAACCATCACTCTGGTATTGTTGTCTTGACACCAGTTGCACCCTCACTCTGGTATTGTTGTCTTGACACCAGTTCAACCCTCACTCTGGTATTGATGCCTTGACACCAATCAAACCTTCACTCTGGTATTGATGTCTTGACCCAATTGAACCCTCACTCTGGTATTGTTGTCTTGACACCAGTCAAACCCTCACTCTGGTATTGTTGTCTTGACACCAGTTGCACCCTCAGTCTGGTATTGATGTCTTGACACCAGTTGAACCCTCACTCTGGTATTAATGTCTTGACACCAGTTAAACCCTCACTCTGGTATTGTTGTCTTGACACCAATTGAACCCTCACTCTGGTATTGTTGTTTTGACACCAGTTGCACCCACACTCTGGTATTATTGTCTTGACACCAGTTGCACCCTCAGTCTGATATTGATGTCTTGACACCAGTTGAACCCTCACTCTGGTATTGTTGTCTTGACACCTGTTGAACCCTCACTCTGGTATTGATGTCTTGACACCAGTTAAACCCTCACTCTGGTATTGTTGTCTTGACACCAGTTGAACCCTCACTCTGCTATTGTTGTCTTGACACCAGTTAAACCCTCACTCTGGTATTGATGTCTTGACACCAGTTGAACCCTCACTCTGCTATTGTTGTCTTGACACCAGTTGAACCCTCACTCTGATATTGTTGTCTTGACACCAATTGAACTCTCACTCTGGTATTTTTGTCTTGACACCAATTGAACCCTCACTCTGGTATTGTTGTCTTGAAAACCAGTTTGAACCCTCATCTTGGTATTGTTGTCTTGACACCAGTTGAACCCTCACTCTGGTATTGTTGTCTTGACACCAGTTGAACCCTCACTCTGGTATTGTTGTCTTGACACCAGTTGAACCCTCACTCTGGTATTGATTGATGTCTTAACACCAGTCTCCCGCCAGTAGTGCTCAGTTAAAGGCTGTCAAATGACAATTCATCTTAGAGCAAGAAAAAGTACAGCATTTGTTTCCTGTTTAAATAACGAGGAGAAAAGTATCATCTTGCACAAATTAGCAAGTCCAACATTGTTAAGCCAGCTGTCACTTTTGCTTTGACCTGCCTAGGGCTAACTTTCACTACTGCCATGGCCTGCCATTCGACTAATAGTACTGCTGCCGTGGCCTGCCATAGGGCTAGTGGTCGCTGCTGCCGTGACCTCCCATAGGGTCATTGGCTACCCCACCTTCGCGTGTCAGAAATATTGTTTCGCCCCTTCTGAGTGGTTTGTCATGTGACAAACCACTAGTAAGCTTGCGCCCGCTGCTCCCTCCGTCCACTACACTTATACGACAATTGACAGGCACCATTTCCACGTGACCACAGAGACCACTGTTTTATCGAGCCCTCCCGAGAGGGCGGACATCACTGAACGAGCTCATTTTATGACGAAGACCAGTGTCATATGACTGTCCCTGAAAAATAAACAGACAATATTACTTCTAATTATATGAATTTAATTCTTAAAGAAGGTGAAGGCAGGAAGGTGAGACAGGAAGGTAAGACAGGAAGGTGAGACAGGAAGGCTTCGGTCTCATAATAAAAAGTTTTACGAAGTGGGTCACATGACTTAAGACCCTCGTCAGAGGGAATCTTCACAGAAGGAAGACTAAGAATCTGAAACATGAGTAAGACGCTTTCGCCTACACAAAAGGCTTCCTCTTCAAACGAATGGAGAGGAGACTAAAACTGAAGACAGCAGAGGCAGCGAAGAGGTGTTGATGTTACCAGTCCCTTAACCTCGAAGAAGTAATTGCAGGTAAATAATTGATAATTCTAATATTATTAGTACTTGTATAAGTAAATAAATTGTAAGAGATTATTAAGATTCAACTCTAATAGTTATAATCATAACATATTTTTTAAAGAGGAGAACCGGTAAGCCAGCGGAAGGCCTCGGTCAAATGACCAAAAGCTCCAACTGTGGGTCATCATATGATTAAGACCCGCGGCAGGAAACACTTGTCCTGTTTCCCGACAAACTTAACCTAACCTAACCTAACCTAACCTAACCTAACCTAACCTAACCTAACTTAACCTAACCTAACCTAAGTTAACCTGAACAGATTCAACTGATTGTTTTTGTTTTTCAATTCATTTACGTACAAGTGTTTCATAATTATCAAATAATATATGTTGGGGATTATTTATTTTATTAACATTAAATGAACATAACAAACAGAATTTACATAAAAAAGGAACTCACACTTTATATAGATTTTTTCCGGTATGTAACGATACGTATTAATTCTATTTATAAGAGAAGTATTATTTCCAATAAATTCTTGCCCCAAAAATATTTATTTTAGTAGCATTATTATTATTATTATTATTATTATTATTATTATTATTATTATTATTATTATTATTATTATTATTATTATTATTGAAGCACTACACTCGCACTCAACAATACTTCAGTCATTAAATAGGAATCTAATTCTCAGTGTATATACATTTAAAAAATACAAACCTCTGTGCATTAGTAACATGTTCCTCTCAGTGAACACTGCTATCATAATTTGTCATAACTTATAATTAATTTACAGCAAAGTCTCATTTCAAAAAATGGAATTTTTTTCAAGAATCACAGAATCCTTCTATTATAAAATATATATATATATATATATATATATATATATATATATATATATATATATATATATATATATATTATATATATATATATATTTATATAAAAAAGTACCACCTCTATAGCTGGAATGGGGACCCTCATCCTCAGAGAAGACAATAAACGTACCTCAGGGAAAACTCAAGGTTCTCCCCGGAGCTGTTTGAATATTTATATATATATATATGAACTACCACATGGAGTACACAATGAGCTACAGGTCACAAGATGAGCTCCACAAAATACTATCACTCGTAAGATAAGCATGGAGCACAAAACAAAGTTGCAGCCAAGGCGCAAAAAAAAAATGAATCGAAAAAATGTCATATCCTGACCTCACCGCCTCGACGTATATATAAGGGGCAAGCAACGTGACAGCCTCACACCTGGCGCCACCTCTACCACAAGCACATCTCCTCGTGTAACTTCTGCGTGTTTAAGGGAAGTTATAAGTGAGCCGAGTGATCTCAGACATGGGAGGTGAAGCTCATAAAGTTGTGATGCTGGGTAAGATCAGAGAACGTGACCCTCTCACATTATGAACAGAACGTCTTGTAGATGTCACCACTCTTGTATGTAGACCGTATCATGTACTTGACACTAGTGTAGTGTCAAAAGGATAATGTTTCAGTTTTCCAGTGTGAAGAGGCAATCTGCTGTCTCTTAAGCACTGTCTATGTAACTCAAGTTGATATAATAGCACATTAGTTGTATCCAGTTAATCTTTAACTGACACCTAGCCGTCATTTCATAGTCATATAACTTACGTAGCACAATTACAGCAAGAACCCCAGTTCACTTTTCAATGGAACTAATCCATCTTCTCACGAAACTATTCCTTACATGTGTCTCAACTAATACCCTAACTACAGTATTCTAATCCACACTTACATTAAAATGTAACTAAGACTGTTTATCTCTTATGAAGCTTGGTGTTTTGCTATTTGGTTTACTAGTGACACTGGTCACTGAGAACTCCTGGATATATTAAGCCTATATTACACAAGAAATCAAATGTAGCGCTCCTATCCACTCATTTCTTGTATTTCTTTCTTTCATTTATGAAACCAGTGTGTCTTGCACACAGCCTTCCTTCATAAAAGTCATAATTAATGGTCGGGTTATGATTAATTATCCAGGAATCATAGTGAACACATGGGAGTTTTGCTTATAATTTTGTTCGTTATTTTATACCCTGAGTGTTTGCTGTCAACTCCGAGTGTTGATTTTCAACCTTAGTGTTTTTCCTTATTCCTGGATGTTTGCTCTTAACTCAAGGTACTTTGTTCTAGGCCCTGGGTGTTTGTTCTAGGCCCTGGGTGTTTGTTCTAGACCCTGGGTGTTTGTTCTAGGCCCTGGGTCTTTGTTCTAGACCCTGGGTCTTTGTTCTAGACCCTGGGTGGGTCTTTGTTCTAGACCCTGGGTCTTTGTTCTAGGCCCTGGGTCTTTGTTCTAGGCCCTGGGTCTTTGTTCTAGGCCCTGGGTCTTTGTTCTTGACCATGGGTCTTTGTTCTAGGTCCTATGTGCTCGCTCTAAGCCCTGGGTGTTTACTCTGTTCCCTGGATTAGTTTAGCTGCCACCAGAAATCAGAATAAAACAAATAAAATCAGCATGTCACCAGTTTGTATTGTCTTGATACAGAATGACAAAGTTGTGGTACTTTGACACTGCCTTGTTTGTTGATTGATCTCATTTGTTGACTGACTTTGTTGACCCATCTTGTTTGTTGACTTTGTTGACTGACCTTGTTTGTTGACTGACTTTGTTGACCCATCTTGTTTGTTGACTGACCTTTGTCTATGCTCTCTGGTGTAAATCTCCCTCTGTTTATAATTCTTACCCATTTACCGCTACTTGTCCCACTCTATGGTATGTATTATTATTATTACTATATTATTATATTTATATATTCTTGAAGAAGTGTTATACTCGAAATGGTCATTCAGCACATGGGGTATAAGAGGAAATCAGATTTGATCAGAGGAAAGAGAGGATAGCTCCAATTCCTTGGATCGAGAGCCCCACCAGCATCATGGCACCTTTTTCCCTCCCGTCACTTCCCACCCCCCATCACTTCCCACCTCCCGCCACTTCCACTTCTAGTAATTTCCCACCTCCCATCTGGTAGTTTCCCTTGGTAATACACAGCTTATCTTGGCCTCCTTGCCACTGTCACAAGGGGCGGCTTTCCGCTAGATTACTCGGTTTGCCTTTCTCATGGATACTTATCGGGTGCAGGAAAACACTTGCCTTCCTGTGTATATACACCAAAAGATGTGTATTTTATTATTTTATTATCACACTGGCCGATTCCCACCAAGGCAGGGTGGCCCGAAAAAGAAAAACTTTCACCATCATTCACTCCATCACTGTCTTGCCAGAAGAGTGCTTTACACTACAGTTTTTAAACTGCAACATTAACACCCCTCCTTCAGAGTGCAGGCACTGTACTTCCCATCTCCAGGACTCAAGTCCGGCCTGCCGGTTTTCATGAACCCCTTCATAAATGTTCAGGTAGCAAAGGTCGAGTTTCAGTTTATGTGTTGCCATTCATTTCAAGAAATCTTTAGCAATTCGTAGTTGTAAAAAGTTTATTTAGTTCATCTTAACTCTTCCAGTAACTAATTTGATCTCATACTCAGTGTTCGTGGGTGTAGTCAGCGCCACCTACTTCGATGGGCCCAAGACTTCGTCTGCTAACCACCTCTCCTCCACTGGTGGTGGCGGTGAAGGATTTGCTGGTGGTAACGCTGGAGGAAACAGAGGATTCGGTGGAGTAGGCAGTCTAGGATACAGCAGAGGAGGGAGCAGAGGTGGAAGTGGAGGGAGCAGTTACAGCGATGTTAATGGAGGATCTGGTAGCATCGGAAGTCAAAGCAGTGGATTTGGTGGCAGCGGAGGCGGAAGCGGAGGATTTAGTGGCAGCGGAGGTGGAAGTGGAGGATACAATGGAGGCTTTGGTGGTGGTGCCACCATTGCTGACTTAGCCACCATCATCCCTGGAGGTGGTGTACCTGGCAAAGACTACCCCATCCTGGCCTACGTCCCAAATACCGGCTTCTCCTGCAACGGTCAGCTTCCCGGTTATTACGCTGACACTGCCCCCGAGGCCGGCTGTCAGGTGAGTCTTCCACTGCCCCAGAGGCCGGATGTAAAGCAAGTCTTCTACTGCCCTCGATGCCGGCTGTCAGGTGAGTCTTCCACTGCCCCAGAGGCCGGATGTAAAGCAAGTCTTGTACTGCACTAGAAGCCGGCTGTCAGAAATATAATATGCTCATCTATTTATGGTTGCTGATATGTCTTGGTAAGTAAAACAGTGATTAATGCCTGATGTAGGGATTAAAGTGAACTCTAAGCGTACTTATACTGAAACATCCTTCAGTGTATATTTACTGCTTCTTTCAATGCATTCGCATCAAGGAAGATATACTTCTTGGCTTATATAAGCAGATCGTTTACCATATAATTTGTGGTTTGACACAAAGACTGGATTAACAAAATTTCCCTAGATTTTTTTCTCCAACTATGAATGACATTCAGTGAATCTATCATTTTGTACTAAAACTTTTCAAGAATTTCATATTTTGAAAAGGCAAAATTTTCTAGATATGCATATTGATGCATTTAGAAATAAATCACTGTAATACATGTAACTACTGATGTGGAAAAAATGTTACAGTGAGGAGGAGAATACAAGAAGACTTCCTCGTCTTTACACACTGGTAGTACGCTGACAGACAGCAACCATCAAGTTGACAGACAGCAACCATCAGGTTGACAGACAGCAACCATCAGGTTGACAGACAGCAACCATCAGGTTGACAGACGGCAACCATCAAGTTGACAACAATCATCAGCAGTCATCATTTTTTGCCTTGATAACTCATGTACAGTTTATATTTTACAAACCTCACAAATTAACTTTTCTCTCCTCCCAATATGTGAAGCAGAAATACGATTTTCAAACTGCACGAGCGCTAGCCATTTGGTTACTGCTTTAAATCCATTGTGTTCCATGCAAGTGTAACTGGTCCTTTTAGTATACTATGATGGCTGCGGGTCGTTAGTGTAGTCAGGGAGAATAGCTGTGCAACGATCACCTCATCAGGTGAAAATATACACCTCTCTCAACCCAAGCCTCACTGGTGTTTCTGACTATTGTCTTTAAAACAGCAGA